ATTGTTTGTATGTATCGCAGTTTGGTTATCTCTTCCTCTGTGTGGGCACTTAGGTTATTTCCACCTCTTTGCTATTGTGAATAGTGCTGTGATGAACATGGGTGGGCATATATCTTATCTGTTCATGTCTAGGCTCTCACTTTCTTAGGATATATGCCTAGTGATGGGATTGCTGGATCAAATGATATTTCTGTTTGCAACTTTTTAAGGAATTAACATACCCTTCCTGATTTGAAATGACGTAGTCTTCCCTTGTTCTGTTTGAATGACAACCTCCTGGTCTATGTCTAGGTTCCTCATAAGGATAATTAAGTGTTCTGGAATTCCCATTCTTTGCAATGTTATCCATAATTTGTTATGATCCACACAAATGTCTTTGCATAGTCAATAAAACACAAGTAAACATCTTTCTGGTATTTTGTTGCTTTCAGCCAAGATCCATCTGACATCAGCAATGATATCCTTCATTCCACATATTTGCTTAATGACAGACAAATGGATCAATGGTTAACAGATACAGATCCATATTTTTATGGACTTTTTTTTTCTTTTTTGTTTTTTCTTGTCATTTTTTTGGAGGGGATGGTAAAATCATATAACAAAACACTGGTCATTTTAACCATTTTTAAAAGCAAAATTCAGTGATATTAATTACATTTGCCATATTTTGCAACCATTACTACTGTTCATTTTCAAATGTTTTTTTCATCCCCCTAAACAGCAACTCAGTACCCTTTAAGTATTAACTCCCCATTTCCTATTCTCCCTGGCTCCTGGTAAACACTAACAAACTTTTGCTTCTATGCATTTGCCTACTGTGAAGATTTCATATAAGTAGGGTCATACAACATTTGTTCTTTTGTGTCTGACTTATTTCACTCCACATAATATTTTTCAAAGTTCATCTGTGTTGTAGCATATACCAGAACTTCATTTCTCTTTTAGGCTAAATAATATTGCATTGTATGTATGTGCCACTTTTTGTTTATCCATTAATCTGTTGATTGACACTTAGGTCGTTTCCACCTTTTAGCTATTGCAAATGATGGTGCAGAGTACACTGATGTACAGTTGTCTGTATGAGTCCTTGCTTTAAGTCTTTTTAGTATATACCTAGCAGTGGAATTACTGGGTCATATGGTGACTCTTTGTTTAATTTTTTAAGGAACCACCAAACTTTTCCACAGAGAATACACTGTCTTACATTCTACCTAGCAATGAAGGTTCCAGTTTCTCCATTTTTCACCAGCACTTGTTACTTTCCATTTTTCTGATATTAGCCATCCTAATGGGTGTGAAATCCTATCTCATTATGGTTTTGATTTGCATTTCCCTAATGATTAATGACATTAAGCATAGTTTTTGTGTGTGTCTTGGCCATTTGTACATCTTCATTGGAGAAATGTCCGTTCAAGAGGTTTTAACCCATTTTTTAGTTGGGTTGTTTGTCTTTTTCTTGTTGAGTTATAGGAGTATTCAACCCTTATTAGATAATGTGGTTCCCAAATATTTTCTCCTGTTCTTTTGGTTGTCTTCTCACTTTGTTGATAAAATCCTTTGATGAGCAAAAATGTTGAATTTTGATGAGGTATGGTTTATCTGTTTTTCTTTTGTTGCTTAAGCTTTTAGTATTATATCTGTAAGTGTTTGTTGGAAACTATATCTTGAAGCATTACTTCTGTTTTCTTCTAAGAGTTGTATGGTTATAGTTCTTATATTTAGGCCATTGATCCATTTTGAGTTAATTTTAAATATAGTGCATGGTACAGTTCATTCTTTTGCATGTGCATATTCATTTTTTCCAGCACCATTTGTTGAAGAAAGTATTCTTTCTTCATTGAATGGACTTGACACTTTGTCAAAAATCAGTTGACTGTAGGTGTATGGGGTTTTATTTCTGGACTCGCAATTCTATTCCATTGGTCTATAAGTCTGTCCTTTACATCAGTACTAAGTTTTTCCTAATAGCTTTTAATTTTTAGAGCAGTTGTAGGTTACAGAAAAATTGTCCAGAAAACACAAAGAGTTCCCATATGCTACCCTACTCCCAGCATAGTTTCTCCTGCTGTTAACACCTTGCATTTGTGTGGTACGTTTCTTAACAATTGATAAACCAATATTTATGCATTATTATTATTATTAAAATCCATAGTTTGCATTAGGGCTCACTCTTTGTGTTGAATAGCCCTATGAGTTTTGACAAGTGCTTAATGTAATGTGTCTACCATTGTAGTATTATCATGCAGATTAGTTTCACTGCCCTTAAAATGCCCCGTGCTCTACCTTTTCAAACCAGCTCCTAGCAACCACTGATCTTTTCACTGTCTCTTTTCCAGAATGTTTCATAGTTGCCTTTTCCATGTTTTATAGTTGGGATCATGTAGTGTAGCTTTCTCACATTGGCTTCTTTCACTTAGAAATAGGCCTTTAAGATTTCTCCATGTCTTTGGTAGCTTGACAACTCATTTCTTTTTATCACTGAATAATAAATATTCAGTTGTAGAGGTCCCACAATGATGATCCTTTCACCTGTGCTTGAACAATTTCTCTTAGAAAGATCAACATTAGGCCGGTCCCCATGAGGCGGAGGTCAAAGATGTCCCAAATGTCCGAACTACCATGCCACTCCATCATTTCAGACATTAACTCCTCCTCCTCCTCCCAGTAATTTCCCCAGTCTTAGGGTTCTGTATTTCGCTGTAACGCCTCACAGAACTCACAGACACCCAAGGGTTCATCTCACGTAGTAGTGGGGGAGGCTGGCAGGCTGGCGAGTCCCGGGTCCATGAGTAGGTCTGGCAGATCCTCCCAACTCTTGGGGTTTGATGAACCTCGATCAGCAGATCAGATGACAGCTGCTGTCCCAAATCCAGGGGTGAGATGAGGATGACCCAAAACACAAAAACCAGAGGAAGAGGAGGGCGAATCTTCCCAGGAGATTCAGGTATACCCTCAAGGAAGCTAAGGGTGGTAATTTGAA